CCAGTATATTTATCAAGGCCGCTTGCCTGGTTTCAAGAAGGCTTCGTGGTAAATTTTTAAGCAATTTGGTAATCAATTTTTTTGTTTTTTGTTAAAGAAAGAGGCTTTAATTTTTAAGCCAATTTCGCGTCCCTCTCATTAACGAAACAAAAAGAGAGTCAAAATTACCAGTGAAAGTGCTAATTTGCCCTTTCAGTTCTTTTGTACTCATTTTCTCAAATCAAAAGTAAAGGTCTAATTTTCTCCAAAAGGAGATTTTGGCTCTTGCGGCTCTTCGCCCTCTAAGTCTCATTCTTCTTGGCTTAGTGTTTGATATCAATCACAAAAATTATTTTTCTGTTAACTAATCAAAGAAAGTCCTTTATCCTCCGCTTGATTTTTCTTTTTTGGTAAAGTGTGACTTACAGGGATGAAATTGTATATCATTACGGATAGAAGTATATCTAAATAATAATAGAATAAAGCGTGAGTGAAGGAATGGTAATAATTGGGGCTTGACAATTCTTTTTTAGCATTATTGCAGCTTTTGGCTTAGGGATTATTTTTTGTTTAGCAGTGGTTTGAAAGTTGGTTTGACCCGTAGTTAAGTCATTTAAGAAAAAGTTAACCCCAAGAAATCAAGCTTTTCAATCGTTAGTCGCAACTTTTAACAAACTTAAAGACCAGTTCCCGCCCGGATTATTCCCGCCGTTTAAGTAATTTTAAAATGAACTTTTGGTTAAGAAGGGTAGATTTTTTTTCATATAAAGTAAAAATATCAAATAATGAAAAAAAAAAAAAAGCAAAAGGAAATAAAAAGAATTGTCTTTTTTGAAGTTGAGAGTTTTTTTAAAAGCGGATTTTCCGGTGCTTCGTCAAAATTAGCCGAGGAAATAAAAAAAATATGAGTAGAAAATAAAGAAAAAATATTAAAAGAATTTTTTGATGATAGTGACTATTTTGATATTCCTAAAAATTTTTATTTTTTGAAAATTAAACATCCAATCGTTACTGATGACAATGGTGCCAATGTTGATATTATAGGATTTTCTTTTCAAGACAGTGAATGCTA